TCCAGGAACATGACTCAGTTTTCAGCTACATGTTCAAATAAAGGATGTGGACCTGAGAAGAAGGAAATCATGTTTCCATAGGTTATGAAAGAGCTGTATGCAAATCCATAGAAGCTGAAGTGGAGCAGTTTAATGACCCATATGAAGGAAGATTAACTTCTTCATGCTGGACAATGGCAAGGGAAAGCCATTCATAACAGCTGTCAATGTTAGAGACAAGCAATCTGTATTTGCCTTATTTAACACTGAAAGCACTGAGCTGTACAGATATTGAAGGCTGTGAGAACGTGGAGCTGTGGTAACAATAGGCATTTTAAAATTTGAATCAGCTCTCTGAAACTGCTGAATTACATTAATTTTCAGAGCATTGCATCTCCAAATTATGTGTATAACTAATAGATCAGTATTCTGAATGTAAACTCAGACTAGCTAAACAACCACAATTATTTGCATAGATCAGTGAAAACTGCTGAAAGCAATATTGATATTCACAATATCTAGCAAACATGGCAATGTTCTTTTAGTTTTTCTTTTCAAGTGTCAGATACAAGCATAATATCATTTCACTGAAAATTATTTTAAAGTAATGAGCAAACAGAAACCAGCTGTGCAATTCACAAAGCTGTTTGGTTTCAGTCCCTTCCCAGCACAAGTTCTTAAAACAAGCTTGTAATGTCAAACTGAATTTGGAATTGAAATAATTTTGCTTAAGAAAAGTGATTATCTGGGAAAAACACACCTTGAGAATCCCAAAACACTTTGAGGAAGAAAGACTATACATTTGGGCATTACTATTCAAGATGTAGCACTCAGGGAGTTTGTGAACAGCACTCACTGGGTGAACTGCACATACACTCAATTAATAGCCATCTTTTAATAACAGTGGACTTAGAGCTCATGGGAAATTAAAGATTCATTCATCATTGTCCCAACTTGGACAGGCAGATGGAGGGCTGACAAATCTGAACAGTTTCAGGGAACGGCATTGGCACTAGTCTGAGCACAGTGGGGTTATACTTTCCCTGCCTTTTTTACACTGTGATCTCCATCTTTTCAGTCTGCCCATGGAGGTGGAGTAACACGAAGATTCAATATAAGAACTAAATAAATATGTGCAAGACTGAACAGAGATTATAGTACTGGAAATGTGTTTCAGACTCTAGTCATCTAAGTCAAATTTCCAAACATTAAAATCCTGAGGCATAATTGCCTCTGTATTTTCTTTTGTAATTGGCCTCTCCTTTCCGTGTAGCACAACTGAATGGAGATCTGTTTCCAAAGCACATTTGCAAATTATTTAGCATTTAAAGCTTTTGACTCACAATCAATTTGCTGCTGCATCCTTATGTCTTATTCTGAAAATGGTTTCTCTCAGAGTTTGCTCAGTAGAGCAGGTACCACGCCTACGTAATGCCAGTACTGACTTTGCTGATCAAGGAAGATGTTGCAACCTAATTCTCCGCAATAACTGAAAGTCTGGTGATCCTATTTTGCTGGGGTTTCTCCCGCTCATCTAGTGCTACATGGGCAGTGTGGCAGCCATTTGAAACCTGGGATCTGGTACTAATAATTCTGCTCTTTTGTCACAGAATATCTTTGGTTCTAGAGTCCTCAAATACAAATAATTCTGTGATTAATAGTAGCTGCTCCAGTTTAAGAAGATGCAGTGATACCAGCATCTAAGGTTTTATCTTTCCACAAGTCTCTGAATTATTCTAATAAATGTATTATAAAAATCATTGTCAGCATATGTCCTTACTACCTGATGTCACTGTTGCTGGTAGCAAACCAACGACAGAGCAGAAAAGTCTCTTTTGCTCAGGTATTTTCTGCTTCTGAACTGCTTATAAGCATGGTTCCTTCAGCATTCATTCCCCGTGTGTTGAACTGGGCTAGATGAGTTATTTAGAGAACTACACACAGAGGGCTGTACTTTTTATGGGTAGGCATACACAGTACATTATCCTAAAATGCCTACAATCATAATGGCAATACAATCTCTTTATCACAAGAGGTGCTACTCTGCATGGCCTATAACACTGCTAACCCCAATGGAAATGATTCCTAATCTTTACCAAGAGAAATATAGTGCAAGGGAGACAGCCTCCAAAATTATCATCTCTTTGGACACATATTCTTTGGACTAATTAGAAACATTCCTATAGATAACAGCATAATCTTTGTAGGAATAATTAGAACAGCGATATGGATCCACAATACTCAAAGTTATTTGATAAAGTTAAAAGCATATGGAGCCTGTAGCTCATGTGATTCACTGTTTTATAAAGCTGATACCAATCCAAGGACTAAATGTGCACAGCGGAAAATATGAGACTTATCTTTGTTTACTATTTATAGTGACATGCAAAAACAGAGGGGAAGCATTTGTCAGCTAGATGGGTCTTATTTTCTACGAGATGGCCCAAACTTGAGCACATCTGATGACCATTTATAATCTCCTGGCAGTTCATTGAAGTTAATCCACATTTCTTTTGCAAAAAAAGAGATTTATTCAAACATTACTTTTCCTCTGGCCAAAGCCCAACGAAAATTAAAATTATCTACATGGGAGAGATCAAATTGAATAGTTCAAGCATATTTTCACATTCTGTCATTTTATGAATTGAAATTTTAGGTTACTTAGCTTGCAGAGGCTGAACTTCTTGAAAGTTTCAGATTCCAATGGGATTTTGTAAAGAAACGTTTGTGATAAATCAATACTGGGGGAAAATGGTGATATTTTGGAACCAGAAACATATCAACCTAAAAGATTTTTGCCAGCATTTTATCGTATTTATCTATATATGACAAAGAAACAATTTTCATCAAGCCAGTCAGAGACACCTTGACATTTTTAATACATGTATTTGTCATTACTTCTGGAGGTCTGAAAGTGTCATTAGAATAAAATACACAGTGGACATTTTTACAGCTGATATCAGATTTCCCTCATTTTGCCTGCATTAAAAAAAATGTTTTCGTATTGAGTGTGCCACAGTACTTTACATTTCCCATCCATGAAAAAGTCCTGCATTTTGGGTTTCAGAGTGAAAGGGTGTGTGTTGCTCCGACAGCCCTGATGGGCAGACAGCTGAATCCTCAGCCCACAGCTGTAAGCACGTCTGAGAACAATCCTGAAAAAGCTGTTAGTAGCTTCCTGAAGCAGGGCTGATTTTCTGCTTACCCACCTGCATCTGTGTAAATTCTCACTCTTTCGTTCCAGCTCTCTAGGGACTGTTACACTAGCTGGCAGACTAAATAGAGAGGGAATATGCCCCTTCCCTCTGCTAATGCCAGCAGGGACTCACGACCAAGTGCAGCTGCGTAATGACTGCTAGAGGGTCAACAGCAGCTGCTGATCACTTCCAGAAATTCCTGGTGGAGCAATTATTTTTTTTCTTTCTGCTGGGTTGCTAATGAAGAGGGGAAGAAGTCTGCCCTCTGGAAAAACTCAAGTGAGCAGCATCTGGCCTTGTTCATTGGCTTCCTGTTCTAAATTCAACCCAGATTCAGAGGAAGGTTTTCAAACCTCAGTCGAGTGGTGGGTCAGCTCTGGCTCATCACACTCACACAGGTGCATGTGCTGAAAACAAGGAGACTAATTTTTTTATACAAACTGAAAACATATTTACTATGGGTGTTGATTGCTATGATGCTGTACCTGTTATTACATCTTTAACTGTGACTGCAATACCGTAAACCAAAATGTTTTCCATCCCAGAAAAAAATATTTGAGCTTTCTGTAAAATGATCACACTGATTCCCAGCCTGTACCAAAACCAGAGAGACAGGGTTTCATCATAGGGGAAACTTTGATGTCAAGTTTCATAAAGCTTTAACAGCTGTGATACACACAGCTCACAGGAAAGCTTCTGGAGCAATCAGTGCTCAAAGACACTTCTCTTAAGTTTCTGGTGATTGGGGAAGAGAGATTAACAGCAGTGAAGAAGAGCAAAGAGGGGCTACTATAGCAAGGTAGACCCTCACTTTGTAAAATGTCCAGCAATTTCCCTCACTAAAGGCAGGCACATGCTTGCTCCAGGCTCTGCTGCAGGGTCCTCAGCACAGGAGAGACATGGACATGTTGGAACAGGTTCAGAGGACTTGAGAAAATAATCAGAGGGCAGGAGCACTCCTCCAGTGAAGACAGGCTGAGAGAGTTGGGGCCGTTCAGCCTAGAGAAGACAAGGCTCTGAGGAGATCTATAGCAGTACCTAAAGGGGAGAGCTGGAGAGGAAATTTTTACCAGGGCATGTAGTGACAGGACAAGGGGGAATAGCTTCAAACTGAAAGCGGGTAGGTAGTAGGAAGACGCTAAATATTAGGAAGAAATTCTTTCTTGTGAGGGTGGTGAGGCACTGGAGTAGTTTGCCCAGAGAAATTGTGGATGCTCCATCTCTGGAAGTGTTTAAGGCCAGGCTAGACAAGGCTTGGAGCAACCTGGTCTAGTGGGAGGTGCCCCTTCCTATGGCAGGAAGGTTGGAACTAGATGACTAACTTTAAAGGTACCTTCCAACCCAAATCATTCTATAATTCAATAATTCTATTATATGATTTGCAGAGTTCAGGAGTGCCACAAATATCACCCTGGAGCCCACGGCGCTTGTTTAGTCTTTCCCCTTCCTTCTCCAGCCCACAGCAGGATTGAGCCCCACATAGATTTAATGTCATTTTACAGCATTCTCCCTCTCCTGGCCATGGCAGTACCGTCCCTGGCCTGTCTTTCGGATCCTATCCAAATACGGAGCTCCCCTTGCTGGCGACAGCCGGTACGGGACCGGCTACCGGCTCCGAGTGCCTTGAAGCGACACAAGCGCGTCCAGGTCAAAGTGGGAATTCCGAAATCTAGGGGAGTAAATCAACCTGCGAGGCTGCGAGCTGCGAGGCTCCGGTGAGGGTTTCTAGCGCCAGGGTGAGGAGAGAGCTGGCGGGGGGATGGACCCTCAGCCCGCCGTGCGGCCCCGAGCGTGCAGCCTCCCTGCCCCAGGGTTTGCGAGTACCGCACAGAAAGGAAGCAGTAGGCATCTTCGTCCTGGAGCAAGGTACAGTCCCAGCTATTTCATCTTAAAGATAGTACAGTCAGCATCCACAGCAATCAGGGAAAGAAATACCCTGGAAAAAAAATAAAATGTTTCTAGTACAAACCACATATAAATTACAGAATGAGGATTACAATAGGGGCTTAATGAAGGAAGGAACGCTGCTACAGAAAGCAGGGATGACTCACCTGCCAACCAGAGAGGCCTGGGAGTCCACACAGCAGACAGGCTGTTCCCCATCCTGACCTGCTCACAGAGCATCTGCGTTGAGTTTGTGCACCCCTAATTATTGCACAACCCACTCACAGAACAGAAAGGGCAAAGAGTGGTTAGGGATGTGGTTTAGTTGAGGACTTGGCAGTGCTGGATTAATGGCTAGGCTCAGTCTTAGAGGTCTTTTCCAACCTAAATGATGCTATGACTTTATGGGCCACTATTCCTCTTACTTCCAGTACTTGCAAAGCCCAGTGCATGGCTTGACTTGTTGCATTCAGCATTGGAACCAGGGTTTGTCACAAAATAGAAGGACAAATCTACTTCAGATACAATGTAACAGTACAAAATGAAAGATCTTCATTTGCATGATTAAAAAGAAAAAAGTCATTGCTCAAAATAAAAACATTCCTGTGGTACTGACCACAACTAGAAAAAGTGACATAGCCTATGTGATAAATTGCAGATAGAAGTCTCTGGAAAGAGCAAAAAAGATAAATATATTACCTGATATCATCCAGCATACCATAAGATAACTGTATTTTTAAACGTTTTATGGTTATTTGCTCTTCGGCTAACTAGGTACACAGACACAGTTGTTCAGTATGGACAGCCCATCAACGTGCTCTCTTTTAACACTTCAGACAGTTTGGTCATTTCTCTCTTTTTCACCTGCTATCACTTCTGGCTTCTTGGTGCAGAAGAAAGATGGCTTGTCTTAGACAACACTGTTGTTTGCCTTGTTCTCAAGTGTATTGATGACAATTTGTATTTTCAAAATGCTTCTTTACTTCAACTGAGAGTGGGACATCCGAGCTGTGGAGGAAGCAAAGGGACAATAAGGCTAAAGCAGCTTGGCTTGCACACTGTGAGCAAGCAACAGAACCTCTGGCTTCTCTACAGGCACATCTTCACAGGTCATTGAGGTGCAGGGACATATTCCCACCCTAGGAATGCCCTATGAACTGCACCATCAGGCCCATGGTGTGGCACCCACCTTCCACATGCTAGAATCAGCTGGAGTTGCACTGTTTAAGTAAACTCATATTATTCACTGTAGTGCGGAAGTCGTGTTGCTTGCTGGAGCTGGTAACTAGTCAAAGCATATTCCTTCTTTCCTGACTCAGTAGTGGTGATTCCCAGAATGTAACTAGTCTGGCTTCCTTGGTTTATTTTATTTAATAAACTATTGTTTACATAATTCAATTCCATAAAATATGCCCAACCTATTTGCAAATGTATTAAGTTGTTATTATTATTGTTGTTTTAGTATTATATTATTGTTGTTGTTTTGTTATACTTTGCTATTGTTATTACATATTGTTGTTGGTATTGCTATACTTTGTTATTGTTATTATTTAACTACTTTGGTAATCATTTTGGTCCAGAAAAAAATAATTTGAAAAGCATTAGACAAATTGCTAAATTTGACTTACGGTTAGAGTAGGTAAATAAATTATTTGAGGATAGTGCTCTGCTTTTGTTTCTTTTAATGCCCCAGGTCCCATTGAGTTGTTTGGGGATTTGTATGACACATGAACTTCATTAAAGTACGAAGTTCATCAAGGTATCCTTCTCCCAGTAAAAGGCATCCTCACAGAAGACACACTGATGAAGAGCTGTGGCCCTTTACTTCCATATGGCCAGGATTTTGGTGGGTGCAGATTCTTCTTGGTAGATAGATATAATTCACTTTAGGCTGCCATTACCAGCCTGCATTGCAATATTATCATTTCCATGGAGGGAAATTTTATTCTATGTATGTGGGAAATACTGATCTACATTCACAGTAAGGTATTGAGTGTGAGAAGAAGCTCCCAAACAGTGTTTAGAAAGCAGCAGTGGAAAGCCTTATAATGATGGAGCATGAAAAGACATGGAAGATGCAAAACACAATAATACCAGAGACCAGGTGAGCCCAGAAAGGTAGATCCTTCCCCAAACAAGCTACCACAGAGGAGTTGCCAGGCAGACTGCCTGTGAGGCAAGAGAGGAGCCTGGTTGCTCCATTAACACCGTATTTACTGCCATGAGACTATCCATGCATACAAAGGAGTCACCAACCCAGAAGGACTAGCCTAAGTCTAGGTACAGTCAAGACTGAGTTTAAAAGCAGCCTTGGAAAACTTCCTCCTTTAGGCACCTCTGGCCTCTGAGGAAGTTGCAGGTAAGTCACTCCAAGGTAGATTCTAAAGTTACTTACGTGTCCAAATATTGGAAGCTCATAGGGGTTTTAAAGTGTGCAAGCTTCCAAATCCCATCGATGGTAGACTCCAAAACTACTTACCTTACTGAAAATCCTTCCCCATTCCCAAACCGCATCTTTAACATTTATGGTTGTCTAGCTCACCTGCGCTTCAGGTGAAGTGAACTCATGGCACTTTCATACTGCAGAAGGAAGTTCAATGAGAGCTAGTGAAGAAAAATGTTACAAACAACTCGTGGTTTTTTTATAACTGGTTAATTATCTTTTTCTGGAAACAGGATTGCTCTTCGTGAATCAATATTACTGCTGCATTTCTTAAAGATGCCTGAAATCTACTGAGTCTCTCGGTTTCTCCCTACTTCTCAAAATAAAAGGTTGCTTACCTTTTCCCTATAAGAAATTTTTCAGGAAAAAAAATGCAAAAGGTCAACTATGGTAATTTATAGTATAGGCCAAAGTCCTCTGTGATTAGTCAATATATTAAGTATTACTCATTATGTTAAATATTAAACCTGGCAGCTACTTATATCCAGGACTCTTCAGACACAGATCCCATGTACGAAGATTTATTCTGACAGGTCTTCCTACACATTCCTTACTGATATCTTAGCCTTTGCTTGTTATTTTCATTACTCCAATTTTGGATAAGCTAAAAAATTATTTTAGTATAGATCAAAAAAATGAACATTGAGCTAGTATTGTATCAATTTTTGAAGGAAAACATTTGGAAATCATTGTCATCGTACTATTTATTTAATTGTTGGATAAAAATACATTTAATATAGGTAAATATTCCCATTCCGCTCTAATCAAGGCTAACTTGGATAAATTACACATCAATTTTGCCACTGACTCCAGTCTTGGAAGTACTTGGCTCTAGAAACATAAGAAACAAAGAAAAAAGTGATTCAGAACAGGCATGAGGAATGACCCATTTCCAGATCATGAGAGGAAAGGTTTGTTGGAATCCAAAACTCGACTATCAGCAGAAAAGGAACTAATAAAATTATGTAGCAGGCTGTAGACAGCAGGAGCTGGGAGAAACTCCTTACTTTGAGGAGCTTCATCACAAGACCCATTAATATTAACTATGTTTGATTGTCCTGTCTCTTTCAGCAAGATATGGAGTGACTGTGATGATGTTGTCAGGCGATGTAGAAGGCCCTTTGTTCTCTTCCCCCCATGTGGTCCTTGCTACGGGAAAATATTAACCACTTGTGTAACTGTAGCAGAGAATTGTGTAATCCTCTAGTTAGCATAATTCATCCCTTAGTTAGTATAACCCATCCTCTTCATTAACATGTCCTGCCTCCAAGATCCTTATATTGCATGTCACATGTTCAATAAATATTCCAACTTCTACCCCTGACCTGGGATCACATAGTTTTATTGACCACTTACAAAGGTTGTCTCAGCTTTGATGTTGTAGCAACAGAAACTCATGCGTTTGGCATCAGGTGCTGCCTGTTATGACACAACAGACCTAGCTCAAGTGGGCAGCCTGCAGCATCCTGCCAGTGCCTCAAAGAAAGGCAGAAGACGTGACAGAAACCACCACACTTCCCTCTAAGTAAAAAATACCACTGGCAGCACCAGCGACAGTGAAAACTGCAATTGGTTTTTTTGACTCTGTAGGTGTTGAGTAGAGGAGATGTTCCCTCAGAGCTGTGTTCTTTGCCCCAGCCAGGGGAGTCCATCAGGGATTACACCTTCTGGTCACTCATTTAAGTTTATTTCCTTCAAAAAAGTCAGAAATACGGGTAATCTCTTACTGTTTTCAAAAACTGAGTTTATCTACAGTTGCAAATTCTGTAAAAATTATATGAATAGAACTAGATGTAAAGTGATAAATTAGGCTACATAGACAGCAGTGATGTCTATTTTTACATAATGTTCTTTATATCTTTGAGCTGTGGTCACTGTTTTTAGGATGATGTTCCTATTCATCCCATATTCCTATTCATCTGCCCACCGTCCTCATCTTTGTTTTAAGAAAAGGAAAATCCTTTCAGGAATTTTCCTAAATTTTCCTAATTCCTAAAGCGACTAATCTTGCTCTTCTTAGAAGCTGGACTGGATGATCTTTAAACGTACCTTCCAACCCAAAGAATTTGATTATTATGAGAACTGAATATACCCATGACCCCTGGATGCCTGATTACCCTGCTGGTATTGGCAAGGCAGGTAAAAATTATCTGAAGATAGGGTAACATGCTAACAGCAAATTGGTACAAGGTCTTTGTCTTTGGAAGCCAGGCCAGATCAGAGTCATAGAATGGTTTGGATTGAAAGGGAGCTTCAAGATCACCTAGTTCCAACCTCTCTGCCACGGGCAGGGGTACCTTCCACTAGACCAGGTGACTCAAAGCCCCATCTAACCTGGCCTTAAACACTACCAGGGATGGGGCATTCACAACTTCTCTGGGCAACATGTTCCAGTGCCTCACTACCCTCATAGTAAAGAATTTTTTCCTAACATCTAATCTAAGTCTCTCCTCTTACTATCTAAGTCTCTCCTCTAACTCTGAACCCAGGGCAGTTAAGTAATTCACTTGTTAAAAACAATATTAGATATTAGGAAAAGGTTCTTCATCCAGAGGGTAGCTGGGCACTGCAACAGGCTCCCCAGGTCACAGTACCAAGCCTGCCATAGTTCAGGAAGCGTTTAGACAATGCTCTCAGGCACATGGCGTGATTCTTGGGGCTGTCCTGTGTAGGGTCAGGAGTTTTGCTTCCTTGATTCCTGTGGATCCCTTACAGCTCCGCATATTCCATGATCCTGTGAATCTTCCAGATGTACCAGCTCTGTGAGCTGTTGCAACACAGCACCTCCTCATCCTGCAGGACAGTGCCGTACCATGTACTTTTACATGTGTTGGGGCTGTTTAGAGGTACAAAGATGATCAAGGGATTGGAGCATCATCTCTTACGAGGAAAGGTTGAGGGAACTGGGCCTGTTCAACCTCGAGAAGGGACAACTGAGAGGGTACATCGTATGTCAGTATCTGAAGGTAGGTGTCAAGAGAGTGGGTTCAGGTGGTGCCAAGTAATAGGACAAAAGGTAATAGGCAGAAACTGATGCACAGGAAGTTCCACCTGAATACGAGGCAGAACCTTACTGTGTAGGTGACCATGCACTGGAACACATTGCCCAAGGAGGATGTGGAATCTCCCTCACTCGAGAGGCTCCAAAAACTGACTGGACACAATACTGTGGCATGTCCTCTAAGATGGACCAGGTTAGATCAGATGACCCACTGTGGTCCCTTCCAACCTGTCCCATTCTGTGGCTCTGTGATTCCGTGTCACTGGCTCCCTCCCGCCACCGCGCTGCCACGAACAGTCACAAGTGCTGGGAACGAGACTTGCTCCTGTCAGAAAGCGGAAGCTGAGACAGCGCCAGCCCTAATTGCACAATGGTCCTCGAGAAGGCGGTGCAGGAGGCCGGCGAGCGGCAGTTCCGCGGCGCTGGAAGGCGGGAGGGACGCGCAGCCCACGATGGATCCCGAAGCGGCGCCGGCAGGGGACAGGACGGGATAGAAACCGACGGGAACGGAGGCGACGGCCACCCCTCGGGGGTGGGGAAGGGGAGGGGCGATGAGATACGGCTCCGCCCCTCTACGCGCAGGAAACTCCCGCCGTTGCCTTACAAGGGCAGGAGCGCGCTCCCTCCGCCCCCCGCCCCTGGAATGCGGTGACCGCACCGCGCTGCACCAACGCGGCGCCGGGGAGGGGGGAGACACGTACAGGGGCCGGGTCCGAGATTCCGACCTTCTCCTCTCGGAGATGGCGAAGACCCCTCGGAAGGAACGCGAAACATACTTGTCGCCGCGGGTCCTCTCCCCTGCCCGGCTCGTGGCTCCTGGCCGCCGGAAAGACGAGCCTCGCCGCTATCTCCCCCCCCGCGCGGATGGTCTCGCCCACGGCTTCCTTCCTCCCCGGTGGGGCGGTGGCTGCTCCGCTCTCCGGAAGTGCCGCGCCCGCCGCTCCTGCCGCGCTGCCACTGGGACCCTCTCCCGCCGCCGCCAGGTGAGCCGGGGGGTCCACCCGGGAGTCTGGGGCCAGGGGTACGTGACGGTTTGGGCAGGGCCGAGCTGGGCCGCCTGAGGAGCCGGGGGGTCGCTGGCGGTGCCAGGGGTCGCTTGCGGCCTCGCCCCCCTCGGGCCTCGCTCGGTGCTGCCGCTCCTCCTCGGCGGGCCCCGCCCTGCTGGCCGGGGCTGGGGGCGACCGCGGCTCGGGGGCCCGCGGCCCATGCCCTGTGAGCCGGGCGGGGCGCGACGCCCCGGGCAGGGGGCAGGGGCTGCAGCGCCAGCGGGGATGAGCTCCCTGGGCATTGTTTCGGGGAACAGGTGTTAAAAAATACTCTTTTGCTCCCTGTCGGAAGGGGTCGGCTGCCTCCCGGCCGCATCGCCCCTCAGTGGCTGTTTGCTCGGCTTTGTTACAGCACGGGAAGGGCTGGGCTGGGGATGCAGCGCTGGGAAGAGGAAGAGGTCTCGGGAGAGGTCCCCGGTCTGTGCCCGCCTGCGCACCGTTTGGAATGAACGCGGCCGCGACAGAGACACTGGGGACAGTGCAGTGGGTCCCTCGGTCGCGGAATCACAGAATCAGTTGGGTTGGAAGAGATCTCTGAAATCATCGAGCCCAACCTATGATCCAACACCACCTTTCAACTGGACCACGGGACTAAGTGCCACGTCCAGTCTTTCCTTAAACACCTCCAGGGACAGTGATTCCAACACCTCCCTGGGCAGTCCATTCCAAAGCCTAATCACCCCTTCTGTGAAGAAGTTCCCCTAACTCTGACCCAAAGCTCCCCGGTGAAGCTTGAGGTGGTGTCCTTCTGTCCTGTCACTTTTTCCTTGGGAGAAGAGCCCGACCCCCATCTGGCAACAACCTCCTTTCAGGTAGTGATAGAGTGATAACCCTGAGCCTTCTCTGTTGCAGGCAGGCTGACTCACAGGCGCTGGATTTTGAGGCAAGCGTGACTCCTGTCTAAGGGGTTTGGGAAACAGTGAGGAGTGTGTTAAGGTGGCTTTCAAGACTGGTGCAGTGGTGTAGGGTGTAATCTGCTCTTTATTGAGCTTTGACACAGATCTGCAGAATGCCTTAGTTTTATCTCTTCCTGCTACCACCCAGATTGTGATGGATGCGTGACTGTATGTGATGCTGTAATGGATTATGTGGACAAAACTTGGGCTTTAGCTTTGAGGCTAACTTTGAGTTTGATGTCATATCTTAGTTCATGTGGAGACTTTCTTGGCTATGGGTTATGGGGATTTATTGTGTGGTGGCTTGTTTTTTTTAATTTTGAGTGATAGGCATCACAGTTATTACAATATTCACAATGTTGAAATGTGAGGGTGTTTTCCAAAGCGTAGCTTTTGGTCCCTGCCTCTGAACAGGTTCAGCCTGCAGCACTGTTAGTGGGTTGTAAATTTTCACAGCTTATTGTCTGGTTGAATATCGTTAGTTGCTTGGTTTTGTCTTCTCCAAGGGTTTATCACTTTCCCAGAGGAAGGGACCATAAGATGACTTTCTGTGCTTCTGTGGTTTGATATCCACTGCTGTTGCTTGACTGAGCAAATGAATGCAGAGGCAGCACAAAGCAGCACTTTGTGTGCTTTTACTACCTTTTTTTTCTTTTAATATGTGAAAATGTTCCTTAAGAGAGGTTAAGTTTTCAGAAATATCTTCTGAGGAGTCTAAGGTAAGGTCTTACATTAGGTCTTACATTAGAATTGTCTTGGACAGTTTCCAAAACAAGGCCCAGACCAGATCATTCAGTGCATCATAATATTAAACAACAGACACTAAACCTGTGTGTCGTGACTTGTGCTATCTAATGTGAAGTATTTCCACTTTTTTCTCTACTGAAATTCTATTTGCAGCCTGTACTTGCCCTATTTCAATTATAAAAGCGTGCGGTTAGGTGTGGGGTTTTTTGTTGGGTTTTTTTTTGTTTGTTGGTTGGTTTGGGGGGCTTTTTGGTGGTGTTTTTTTGTTGTTGTTTTTTTAAATACCTTGTGAATTTATCAGATTAAATTCTACTTTCTCTAAAATTGGGGGCCCCAGTGCTTGACTCAAATGGTGTTAGCTCTGCCTTATTACATCATTCACTGCTATATACGGAGATAACATAAAGTGTAAACACTTTTGGGACTTTTAAATTATAAATCGATCTCTTTGACTAACTGGATTGATGACTTTGGTTTTCTGAACATGTTCCACTGTACCACCCTGTTTCTAATAAGAGTTTCCCAGAGTTGAATGCAGCATCTCCAGTGTAGCTGCACCAAACCTGTGCTAAAAGGCACCACAGTCCTGTAAGACTTAATGTTTCTCTGTATTCAGGCTGACAGGTCTCTGGAACTGAAGGAGTTGTGCTGCCTCCCAAGCCTGGTTCGCAGAAACTTAGAAAATAGTAATGCAAACGTTGGCAAGTTTTTCATCTTCTCGAGTACAATATTCTGATACAGCAATCTTCTGAACAGAATTAAGAAGAATGTGTTGGCAGCCTGTCTCTGTTACGTCCTCTTGCTTAAGATTGAGTTGTAGGTGAGAGAGTGGCAGCTTGTGGCTTGCTGGAAGCACTGCCTTTACAGCATGTGCAAAGTAAACTTTTTCGTCTACTTGGAATGGACCATATCCCAAAAACTGTGAATTATTTCAGAGAACAGTTACTTAAACTGTTTGACTCTATTTTTGGGTAGTGGAACTTTTAATCAGTAATTCAGCATTTAACAGGAACTTGCCTGAGGGCTTTTACTGAGGTGAGAAAACCACCGACTTTATGCACAACCCTTGGCTGCAGCTTGAAAGCAAATTACCTTTGTTGTCAGCTGTCTTCATAAATATCTCGATGTCAAGAGTTCACATTTATTTGTTGAACTGTTATGGAGGCCAGACATCTCGGATAGCTTGTGGTTAGCGAGTGCACTGAAGAGAACTTCTGCGTTGTTGAATGATGCGCAGTTGCATTTCACAGGCTATTTTTAGTTCGGGACATAATGGTTTGTTTTGTACGTCAGAACAACGTTGTATATGCACGTAGGATTTAAAAGTGTGGACTTAGCAGGGGAAATCAGTAACTGTCTTTGTGGACAGACAGAGAAGGACATAACCATGGAATTTCCTTTTATGATCCAGTTGCTCGGTAAAGCATGTCAGCTATCTGATACAAAGCAAGGTAAAATATCTTTCCTTTTAGTTAAAAACAAACAAAATAACTGCTTTTTGCCTGAATATTGGGATGCTTATGTACGGGAGTTACTTTGCTTAATTTTGCTCCCTTTTTTTAAGGCTGAATCCCAGTTAGTGATTTCAGTCTTGCTTTGCAGGAGTCTAACAGAAATTATTCTGTCTTTGAGGAGGCTGTCTGAGAAACAGAACTGTGCTGTGACTCTGACTAGCATTGCGTTTCTGACCAGATATTTTTTTCTAAGATATAAAACTAAAACTTAATATAAATTTCAGAATGTTGCTATTTTTATGATTACTTATTTTTGTGATTCACTTGTGATAAAAGTGAAGCTTAAATTTGTCCTCTTTCAGCACGCTCTTGCTGCAGGTGCTTCCTGTAAAATTCAAAATCAAGGATGGAAGGAATCTAGTTTGCGTAACAGTTTGGGCATAATAAAGGATTATAGCAGCATGGATTATGCTTTACTTTTATCTAATGCAAGTAGAGGTTATCAAACTTTGGGAAACAACATGTCAAGTTTAACTTATCCAAAAGCAATGTTGAGGTCTTCATGTTTGCATTTCAGTGAATGACTCAGCTTTTTGGGTTTGTACCGCCAACTATAGCTGAACACTAAATGTATCTGCCCAGCTAAATAGATGCCATTAACTTGAAAGCCTCACTTCTGCCCTGAGTATGTTAATGTTATAACATGTAAGCCACCGCGTTTATTTCTTTGACAGCTTCAAGGGAAACAATGAAATTGGTATATTTGTGATACATGAAAATTCTAAAGATTCTGCAAGAATATATAGATGTTTTAAAAGGCTGATAATTAAAAGAAACGGTCTCCAGATTTTCGTACCTATTATGCCATTAATTCAGTTAAAAAGAGTGTGCCGGCATTTGCGTGTGTGTTGTGTTCCACTGTGTAAGAGAATAGCAATGTAGAGCTTCTGAACCAAGTCAGTGGTTTCTTGCTCTCAACAGCAGCTGTTCTAACAAAGGCTTTACAGAGCCTAAAATACAATTTTTTCCCCTCCTAAATTGTTAGTTTAGCATACTGCCTGATTTATTTAACCACTACTCTAGTTTAGCAGCCCATATCCTCCTACAGGGCAGGTCAGCAGTGCCTCCCAAACTGCTGAGTGTGTAGTCATCTCAATTTGTGGAAGATGCAGGTGGAGTATTGAATCAGCAATACAAACACTGAGTGATTTCATTTCAAAAGCTGTGATTTGATTTGGAGTTTTTATGTAACCTGCTATTGGCCTACAGTTCCAGTCGCTGAGTCCTGAAAGACCTTATACTTTAATAGCAAGTGAAATGTAAATGAAAGAAAATGGAGCAGGAGATACCAAAGTAAATGTGTACTTTGGCGTATTTGCTGATAACATGGAATTTGATATTCCTTTATCCATCCTTCCCCCAAGGACTTGTGATATGATTTAATAAGGCTAAATCTGGGATATGTTTCTGTCTTCTTAGAACCAACAGCCAACATGTCCAGCAAAAGGGCAAAGACGAAGACCACCAAGAAGCGCCCTCAGCGCGCCACTTCCAATGTATTTGCGATGTTTGATCAGTCGCAGATTCAGGAATTCAAGGAGGCCTTCAACATGATCGACCAGAACAGGGATGGCTTCATCGACAAAGAGGACTTGCACGATATGCTCGCCTCCCTTGGTAATGTCCCTTTGCTGTTTATGCCTGCCAAGCCAATCTGTGCTGTTTAAGGGAAATTCCTGAGTTTAGGATATGAGAGGTGTCTCAGTTTGTATTGCACGATTGACATTACTCTTTTAGTTTGAAAACTAAACCGAATATGAATCCCTTTATTTGTAGGAAAGAATCCAACGGATGAATACCTAGATGCCATGATGAATGAGGCTCCAGGCCCCATAAACTTCACGATGTTCCTGACCATGTTTGGTGAGAAGTTAAATGGCACCGACCCGGAAGATGTAATCAGGAATGCTTTTGCTTGCTTTGATGAAGAAGCAACAGGTACGTGGGTAAAATAACAGTGCACCTTTATTACTTCTACTTACTTCTGTAACAGTAAATACTTGTGTACATAGACGTCATGAAGAATTTTTTAACTCTCAAACTTTTAATTTCTGCAAACTAAAAATCATGCCTGTATCCTCATCAGGTAACTTTACCTTTTCAATCTCTGCAAAAATTCCAAATTTCTGTCAGTTCAGTTCTGTTGTTCACAACAGAAGAAAGTAAAAAGGATGTTGATGAGGAACAAGGGTCTTAAATTATTCCTAACCTAAAATTCAGCTTCGGGGCAACTTTGTACGGGGAATCCTTGTTTTCAAAGCTGTTGTGCTTTTATGAAGAATTTGTTTTCTGTCAGCAACTTGTATTGCTTAACCTTCCCTCTGTTAAGCTGAACTCAAGGGAGAAGAAAATGAATACAAGAAAAATCTTGTGTGATTCACAAGAGTGCTGATAGAAGCAATCACAAGATATACAAGGCTGCTTGTTTAATAAGCAGTGCCAAAAACTTACTCTTTGCAGTCTAGTAAACCTGAGTTCTGTCATTGATTTAAGATCAAATTGAAATTTTTGAAACATTTCAAACTTCTCTTTTTCATGCACTTGTTGAACATAGGTAGTCAAGTTCCATGACTTTTTTTTTTTGTGATTTTCATTAGGAATGTTCAAAATGAACAGATCCCCTTTTTAATTTTTAAAATATAGAGTTGTTAGAAGGCTCTTGGTACTACTGGGAGTATAGCCCTGCTGTTGGGAAAGAGGGCCAATATGAATACTGACAAATTTTTATATTCTTCGGAACACCACTGGGAAATCATAAAATGGCCTTTACTTGAACTAGTGAGACCTGGCAAACCAAGTTGCCTGATTGGATTGAATGCTTGTAATTAGTTGGCAGTTTTAGTAGTAGTCTTTAATGGCTTTGTTTTCATTTGGCAAACAAAGACTTGTAGGTATCTTTAATTGAAGGAAAGAATTCAAAGAAAGAAGTTATCACCAGTGTATCACCAGCAGATAAATGTAAAAATTCCTCTTCCTTATGTTTTCATGTGTTGTTTCCAGGGTTCATCCAGGAAGACTACCTGCGGGAGCTGCTGACAACAATGGGAGACAGGTTCACGGACGAAGAGGTGGACGAGCTGTACAGAGAGGCACCCATCGACAAAAAGGGGAATTTCAACTACATCGAGTTCACACGCATCCTGAAACATGGAGCAAAAGACAAGGATGACTGAGCAAATCCATGCATACCTGCAGATTATCTCTACACTCATGTTTATTTTTAAGGGTTTATTCCTGATAGAACTTGTTGCATGCATTTAGCTTTACAGCTTTTGCCTTTCTCAATGTATTTATCTATTCCAGGCCATTTAGGCATATTTGCACCTGTGTAATCAGACTGGAAGCGGGGAAAATATTGTGAGGAAAAGGATACGGGGACGAACATCCCTGGAGTTGATACTCCAGGAAAATAATCTCAATATTTCTGATTTAGCTGGATTTTTACATTTTTGTAATAAATGCCATTTTGAAATAAAGATTGCTATATAGATAAAATACCTCAAAATCTTTTGTGAAGAACGACATTTCTATTGTGCATTTACAAATGCAGGTGTGTTCATTGTATTTTACTTGCAGTTGCAAGTCAAGTTGAAAAACGCATTTTCATACTGTTTTGTTCAGTGTCACAGGGTTCTGAAATGCTCCTAGCAGGATGTGCTGGCATCTTTAAAAATGCAGCTGTAGCTGTAGAAGTCTTTCATCTCAGGTTTCTGAAGTGGGATCTGACTAGTGTAAGTAGTTAACCAAAGAAGTGGTTAGGGAAGACTGTTACAGTTGCCTCATGGCCAGCAGAGAACATCTATGATTCTTAAGCCGACATCATGCCCAGCTTTTGTTTTCTTTTAATACTGATGGAATAGCAATATTTTCATGTCAAAGTGTACATTCCTCTTTGCTAAATCTTTATGCTGGCAATAAGTGGGAATTAGGCATATTTTTTCCTTCAGATGAAGGAAGCTTGTGCAAAGGAATCCATGCTGGCACTAATTAACAGCAATACATGGCCACAAAACCTATATGAAGCTTTATTGTTCTGCAGCTAATGTATTTGCATGTGAGAATGTGAGCACAGTCGTTCTGAGGACTGGTAAAACCCTATATGTGCTGAAGTTCCTCTCACTTTTTAAAAGATCATACATATTCCTCAACTATATTGATGACTTTTAACCAAGCACAGTCATTCATTCAAAACTGGTTGTGCTGATGCTGTTGTCTCAAATATAAAGAAAGGGGGGAGGTTGTTCTGTTCTTCATATGACCATGTCCTGTGTGCCTCATTCTCTTGGCTACTGCAAGCTGGAAAGCTTAAGAATTTATTTTGCCTGTTTATTTATCGATTCAAATGATGACTAGAAAGCATGTCCTGAGCTATATCACATGACTTAAGACCACAAGGAGTAGGAATTTTACTTCAGCGCAAGGGTGTGTAAGGGCTCTGACAGCTTATACTGTAAGGTGGGTTTGTCTCTCTTCTCATATGTTAGCACAAAGGCTTGGTTACTTAATCTTGCTTGTGTTCCGAGTATGGCAGCTCTGGAAGATAGTCTGGCATTAGGTTTGTAAATAAGTTGACAAAGTATACACAGTTAGCATATACTTTGATTATTTTTTTATTTTTTATTCCTTGGTGGTTTCTTTCACTTCTGGGCTTAATTAAAAGGAGTTTTCAACCATTATTTTCCCAGTTTTGTGTTTTATCTGCCAATGAACTTAGCCTCAAGTTTTCTTTTTCTTCTACACAGACTTATGTTCTCTGCTACACTACTCCAGGTTGCCACAGCTGCTCCTTTTTTTTTCAAAAGTTTGTTTTTTAACTATCTTGGTGCTCTTCAGTAATGGCTGCTGAGGTATTTCTTCATGGGATGCCTGCAAGGTTCTAGCAACAGCTGATATTTCTGGAAGGTAGTTTGCAAGTATGCATGGAAGTTTTCAGCAACAGTGGCCATGTGACAAAGACAACAGAGTGGAGATCTAGGAAACACTGTCTTGTTGAAATGTTGCTATGTAAATTAAGGCAAAGGACAAGTTATGCTGTCACTTCTTTAGACTGATCTTGTCACACCTGTGCAATTCAATACTGTGTGCATACATGCAAGCAGCTTGCACAAAGGACAGGTGGAAGACTATTGATTAATTTTTCCCCTTGAATGTCTAAATGGTGTAAGATTCAGAGATCAGTTTTCTTCTGTTAGGAACAGTGGATGCCCAAACCCTTCTTTTCCTGATCCTATTTTCTCTGTAAGTGTTAGGTGCTGGTATTTTACACTGAGTAATCAGCAAGTGAGCTGGCTGCATTTTTCTTGCTGGAAATAAGTTTTGAAGTGCTGATTTTAAAATCATAAATATGAGTTACATAAAGGAGAACATGCTATTCTCCTTGAGAGGAAATTGTCCACTTAAAAAATGTTCTGTGCTGCTGCTCTAGTTTTCTGAGCAGCCAGCTGAAATGTGGGGTGTAGCTGCTTTGTAGCACCTACACAGTGTGACAAGGAACATTCCTGGATGTTCCCTCTCTGTAGAGGGAGAGGCAGGGAACTGTACTGATGGAAAGATACCTACACAGGAAGACACGTTATTGAGAAAGAATTCAGAGGATGTTTGAGTATAACTAACAACAAACCTTCCAAGTTCAGGTTTCCTTGGTATGTGTATTGTATTGTAGGAGACCAGTTAACCTGCAAGTGGGCGCAAACCCCTTAACCACTGACGGCCTACGAGGCCGACAGGCCCAGCCAAGAGACCGTATAAGAGCATCGGATGCATTTTGTAGCGCGGCAGCAAGGAATGTTGACAGCTGAGGTTGCGTGCCAAGGGCTGTAGGGATGTGTCATCATTAATCCACTTCCAAAAATAAAAATAACTTTGGTCACTGAAACAGCTTAAAATTCTGATGACTTAGACTTACCGTTTTGCAGCCAAAATCTTGGAACCTAATATTTTGTCCCTTGCGGTTCATATATAACGGTCTCCAAGCTCCACGCCAGACTAAGCTTATGATGAAAAACTATTTTCATAGGCTGATGCACACATTTAATAGTCTTATATCTACAGTGATATATAATGCCCTGTGAAGCACTATTGAAAAGCAGTGATTTATTTTAACGTGACCCACTTACCCTGTTCTAATGCTACATACGCAGAGGTCAAAATGAAGCCAAAGAGCTATTGCAGCGGCATGAGAAACCTCCAAAGAGGACTATGTATGTGTGAAGTGCTGCCTGTGGATGTTTGCCTCCTGCCTTTTCTTCCCCACATTCTACACTTGTTTCTGCTCTTTACGGTGCATCTAAGCAAATAAATCCATCTTTACCGCACAGTGACCAGATGACTGAAACATTTCACAGCATGAAGGCAGCTTATTATACTAGCTCAGCAACTAGTGGATGTCACAGAGGTGGTGTCCCTACACTCAGAAGTAAGGATCCATTTCACCACTGACCTAAGGACTAACTTTAGATCGCTTGTTTCTAGGATCACTGTCGTATCTTGAGAAATGAATGCAACACAGGGGCCCCATCCTGGCACAGGACATCAGTGACAGCGTGCCTTTGCCTCCTGACCAGTGCATTTGATCCAAAAGCTGGAAAGTATCGGAAATCTTGTCATCACATGTTTCTCGTGGCCTTTTCTTGTCTGGAGTGTTACTAACTTACTGGGATGTTCCTGGGGAGTTTCAAACAACAACAAATAGCTCTCTTACTGTCCCAAAGGCATTCTGACAATGTAAGTCCAAATAACAGGTGAGTAACAATCAAAGTATAGACAGGAACATTTTAGACATCAGCAGTTAATCTGCCATTGGTATTGCCTATGTACCCATGCTCCTATTTTGGCTTCTTACTTAATTTTTCAAAAGCTACTGTCATTTTTAGATAACTTCCCTCTTTGGAAAAACAATTTAGGATGACAATAACTCAGAAACAGTATTATAGAAGCCAAGAACAATACAGAGGCAAAAAGAAATCAGTAAATGCCTCTCAAAATGCAGCTTAACAATAAGTTAACATGAAATGTTGGAAAGTAGTAGTGGGGGGAAAAAAACCAAACTCCACACAACTCATGTTTTGTTGTGCTCTGAGCAGCAACTCCACAGAGATCACTGTTTTCCCAAACTTGATATATTAGATAGAAAAATTTTCATCTTAAAAAAAAAAATGGCAGCACATGTCAGCTTTTCCTGCTTTCCTCTAAAGCCTGTGGGCCTGTACATACATTGCTCCCCATACCCTGGGACCACTCATTTCGGGCAGGAGCAGGCAGGCTACTTTGGTAGCATGCTCTTTGGGAATCCCTGTGTTAGACCTTGAAAAAAAAACTTGTATGGCAAATTTCAACAATTCAGAAAAAAAAAAAATACTGCCAAGGAATGTTTTCAGACCAAACGTGTCATATTCCCTAGACGCCATACATAATAGGCATTGCATCACAGGGCTTAAGGGGTCAGGCAGTTTTTATCAATGTAATAAATCTAAGGAATATGTTTATATGTTTCTCAGCAGCATGCATTTAACATAAGAGCAGGAAATCAAACTGCCTCCTGGAAAATTCCAACTGCTTGCTCCGTGCAGACTCCTCTGCCACATGGCTGTGATTCAATCCCTCAGTAAACCAGCCTTGCACTTTAATAAAGCTTGAAAGTCAGTTGCAAATACTATAGGATTAGGCAAGTCAAGACTAACTTTAATATGGGTGCCTAAAGGAGCAGATGGTGGCAGCAACAGTCATTTTAGCATTCTTGTAAACTGTCACTGCTCAGTTTTACAAGGTTTATTTAATCCTTAATCCTCTCTTTGGTATCAGTGAGTACAACCTCACTAAATATTGAACTATGTTTTGGTTTGTTTTTCAATTGTGAATAGGCCTTGGGGGTGAAAAGTCAGCATTTCACAATAATTTCCAGCCTCTGCCAAGCATATTCAAGTGAGTGGGTGTAAAACGAGGCCTGTGAGCCCTGTCTTGGTATGTGCTAAAAAAGAGCTGACATCAGACACAAGTAACTTGAACCTTGACTTTTCATTGTATCTAACAGATACTAGGGGTTTTCCCTCTTTTGAGTTCTTCCTTAATTGTGAGCTAACTATCTCTAACACAATAGGTTTTATACTGGCAACATATTGCCACCCCAAAAGAAATAGGCCGATTTTGAAATTGCTCCACCAGTCAACCAAACTTGCGCTGGCATCAGCTAACAGGAAAACTGCTAACACCTTACTTTTCATGTCAAACACCTGACTAATTATGCTCCTTCTTGTTTTCTGGGTATATTTTACAATAGTATTTTAGACCTTCAGCCAAGCATTGAGCTCATTTCATTTTCGTCCATATTTGTTCATACATGCTGTCAGACAGATACCAACTCTAATTTTACATGTGAGGAGAGGGCACATATGTACAATCTTAGGTTAAGCAGAATTAATTACATGTCTTTGAAAGACTGGAGGCCTCCCACTCTCCTTATTAAGAATACCTATCAACACTTATTTTTGCATTTCAGACATCAACATTATGGAATCACGGTGTCTGGCAATATTTCTGATTAAAACTAGTGCAAAAAGGACTGAAAAACCCACAAAGACTTAGCTAGAATTATTGCAACTTACCAGCTAGGATAAAAAACAAGTTATGGACATACAGCACAAGTGGCAGTACAGTGACTTTTCCTCAGCCATGCACACTGAAAGTTACTAGAAAGTCAAAACAGAGCTATTTATCATTTTCAATCTGGAGAAAGAATATATCTTTCTCTGAGAGCCTTTATTTTTCATGGTTCAGCATCTACCTTGTAGCAGGGACCACCTAGGAAAGCAGTAGCCATTTTTATTCTTGAGGTCATTGAATGAAAACAGGGAATACCCTGCAGTCTTGCTCTGAGGCCCTCCAAGACAGCCAAGCGAAGACATGCATTCAGAATACCTTCTTTCACTCACAACTTGTCAATGTTTTCCCTTTGGATGACAGTGCTGGAGTTATTTTTGGAGAAGTTCCAGAAAACTCTGGGACACTCTCAGCATCTCAAAAAGAATGACTGTCACTCTGACTGATAACTGCACTGCACTTGGTACAGCTTGACAGAGACAACAGATGCCAGCTGGAATCAGGGAAGAAGGGATGGAAGGGCAGAGGGATGAGCCAAAATACCAGGTGAAACAACTGGTAGACAAAATGTTTTTGTTAAATGATAGTTTAGACCTAGGACTTGGGTGTTTATATTTAATTTTGACTGTGCTGTCGATATCTAACCTCTTTAATTATCATTTGTTACTTTTGTTGAATAGTGATAAAACACTCAGAAAAAAAAATCTCTTAAGTGGCAAAACCTTCCATCTAACTTTCACACATTTTTAATTCTTAACTCAATGTGAAAATCACACATATGCTTTTTCATCTAGTCTCTCTTTTCAGACTGTTTTGTTTGTTTCCTATGCATATCCTCAGTCTTACTTCTATGATGAGCAAGAGTATGGAATTGCTTCTGTACAAGAAAAATTACCTAAGTGAGACTCTCTGCTGGAGCAGATGGAGCATGCAAGAGCTTTCTAGAAGCACAAGTAACACAAAGAGGTGGACACACAATTCAGCATTAGCATTTCTTCCAATACAAAGTCTAGAGCATAAAATAAGAATAGGTATGTTCAAAATTAGTAAGGTAAAGTCCTTCATGTAACAAATAGCAA